ATTGGTCGGGCGTGGTATTGGATGATACCATCTTAAAGAAAATGTTAAATATGACAAGAGATTCAGGTCATATCACGACATCGTGGAACCGTATCAAACAATTTGGTGACGATTACTCGACCACTAAAAATTGACTCGGATACAATTCAAACAATTTGACCAAGTTGTGTGAGAATCAAGATTTGTACGTATCGTGTATTAATATTGTCTCAAAAGATATCAAGTTGGATATAACTCGACCAATTCATATTGGACAATATTTTGAACCATGTTCCAAGACGAANTACAAATCAAACAATTTGACCAAGTTGTGTGAGAATTAAGATTTGTACGTATCGTGTATTAGTATTGTCTCAAAAGATATCAAGTTGGATATAACTCGACCAATTCATATAAGACAATACTTTGAACCATGTTCCAAGACGATATCGTTACATGATATGTATAAACTCAAAATCTCGCACAACTGGACAAGTCGTTAGAGTTGTATCCGAGTCGTCAAGATATTGTCACCGAATCGGCCATTATGGTTTCGCGACACCGCAACCGATGTGTCTCAGAGCTCTACAAGTCGATGACCGATAACATGACCGGATTCATGATTTTTTTTTTTCAATTCATACCGCCCCTAAAAATTAATGAATGTTGGTTCTCGTGAATCGCTAAGCTTCTCGTGCTTGTTTTGAGGGTTCGTGTTGCGTTGATATGCCTATTTTACATGTCTATCTATGCATACCTACCTACCTGTTGATCTATTTCTTTATTATTATGAACAAAAGCTAAAAGTGGGTGCTAGTTACAGGTAAAGGAGGGACAAACTGAAGGTGTGGTGGAAGTTGATGGCCACGACAATCCATTCTTGTGTTGTGGCAGTGAAGTGGTTGATGGGTATGCTCGAATGCTTGTTACTGCCGTTGGGAAGAACAGATGGACCCAGAAAATTCATTTACAAGGGGAAATGATAAATCAGTCCCAACAACTAATCTGAGTGATTGGTAAATTTGGTCATGCAATGGCTTTCGTGATTCTCTTGGTTATGTTGGCTCACTTGTTTTCCGGGAAAATAAGCAATGGCCAAGGAAAGAGGATAATTATTGGAGGGGAAGAACCTATCCCTATCGTTGATGTATTGAAAGCTTTAGTTGGAA